TAAAATTGCTTGTCAAAGAGCGGGTGAAAAATCAAAGCAAATAATTGTACAAGTGTTTCTTAATATGCATCAATACAAACAGCATCATCAATATTACACATAAGCCAAAGATTAAAACAAAAATGCAAACCGGTTTTCAACAACTCAAAATGATATACAGGCTTATTTTCATACATCATACACTGTTATCTCCCACACACTCAGCCACGCAGAAACTCAAATGTTTCAGTTCAAATTCACAGACTGACTGACTGACGTTCAACCCCACCAGGACCTCACGAGGGATAAACATCCGGTGACACAAAATGCCACAATAACCCATAGGTTTAATTTAGGACCCCCTGCCGACAGCCCGGGTGAGGATTTAAAAACTGCATCCCCATGGTGGGGTGGATCAATAATCCACAGAGGATTGGGATTAAAATGAGCTTGCCCTATATAATATCTGATTGAACAAATTATCCCCGTGTGGGTTAGGGAAAACAAGAATAGACACTGCCAACCCATAAGCATGTCGTAAGAGTCGACTAATTGGGAGCTTCCTTTGAATTCGGAGTGCATCTACCTGAAAGGCAAAGAACAAGCAGTCTGCATTCGAATAAGTCAGATCTGTAAAACGGATGCACACGCAACACTCAGGTTCTGGAACAGGACCCCAAAGTGGATGAACAACCAGAACTTTCCGCCAGAGTTTACAGCCGGTGAATGCGAAGAAGATAAAGATTGCACCGCATTTTATCCCATATGGGTCAGTCTCTCTGCAGAGCAGTTAGCTGCCACCACACCAAGCACAACTCCGTAGCCCCAGTGTCCTCCCCAAGTAAACACTGCACTCGTGAACCAGATGATGCACCCGTTACACAAACCTACAGCCCTCAAAGCGTAAGGCAAATGGCTTGACTACTTCACCACAAAGACCTTCCACGAGTGAACAAATCTGTTCAGTTTGCGAATGTGAGAGGAACAAATCACAAGTGTTCTGAGTTGCATCCAAACAAGGGAAAAAGAAATAAATGATAAAAAGAGACTTTCTGGTAGCAGATGAGATGATGAAACTGTAGAGGCTATTTTATATGCAGCTCAATTTCACTCTCAATTTCAATTCACTCTCAATTTCACTCAATTACCTCTTTAGGACCTTGCTACACATCAGGGAAGCAAAGGCAAAGAAAACATGGGGGGAGGGAGGGGAGAACCTTATTTAAATGTGCAATAATAATATTCATTATTATAGTTATGTACTGAATTGCAAATAAAAAGATCTGAAATAATACAAATTGTATAAACCAGGGCTATCCAACTGGTGGCCCGCATAGGAGTAGCAAGTGGCTCCCGGATCACTGTCAGTTGCATTGTATTAATGATCTTGCTATGCTGGGTCTCAAGCCTCTGACCCGCGACGATCCCTATTCCTAACATTTGGGCCCCCTGAGTAAAGCCCTGGTATAAAGTAACTCTTGAAAAGAAAGCTTATGTATATGTTTGAGGCGGGCACTTAAGCCAACCCCCCCCCCCCCCCCCCCATCTCCCCCATAAAATTTGCGGAGCACTTAAGGGTTACTACTGCCTGTGTGCCATGATGTTGGTCCGTTGTTCAAAACCTCAAACCTCTGCTTATTTGTAGGCATAATCTAAATCAAAGGCACTCCAACTTTAAAGGAAACATCCATAATTAGTAGCCTTATATGGCATGCTTATTAGGGAAGCAGTGGGTCTATCAACAACCCCCCCCCCCCCCCCCCCCCCCCCCACAAGGGGAGAAGGACACACACACAAGGATACTCAAGTTTTTAAAATACAACAAATGTATGGCACATTATAATTCAGTATTTGCTGCAACACTGGCTACCAGAAGGCAAGGGAAATCCTACACAACATAAATGCAGGACACAACTCATTACATTTATTGTACGATGCCAAAAAAAAACTACCAACATGCGGAGATAAAAACCAACACCAGAAAACTCAGGAAATTCCCATAAGCGTTCTGTGCCTATCTTAAGCAGCAAGCTTAGAGCTCCAATTTCGACGATACCAGAAGCAGTTCGATGATATGTCTGTCTTGTCTTTCCTCTGGAGTAGCAACTAACTCAATATACTAGATACAGTCACTAAAATTCTCCACCTCTGGACATCGGGGCAATGTGACATCTAAAGTTATGCTAAGGTCTCATTCACTGTGTTCCCCCAAACTGGGTGCCAAAATAATCCAGGGGGGGCAGCAGCAGCCTTAGGTGCAACTTGAAAAGGAAAAAAAAAAGGGGGAAGGGGCATGGGTGCAATCTGGGAGAAGGCGTTGGAATGATCCAGCAGGGCGGTAATTAAAATCAGGAAATTTTTTGGGGGCTAAAAGATACCTTTGTGATACTTAAAGTCGTGTGTTACTAAAAATCTTCAGCTCAAGACTTATGAAAGCATGTGTTACTAAAATCTTAAACCTCTAGGTTAAAAAACAAACAGGCATTACTAAAATGTTCAAATTTAAGAGCTATAAAAATCCATATTTTGTAGACTGTTGCATAAATACATATATTAATAAGATGAACAACTAAGAATATCAGACAGTTTCTTAAAATCAGTAAGTAAAGGTCCCCTTTAGGCATATAGGGCTAGACCTATATTTTTACAGACCAACCGGCACAAGATGGGTGATGCGGTCAGCATCAAGCCGGTTGCCTTTACTTCCCAGGACTGCACCCGAAACCCACTCAAGACTGGGTCAACCTGGGAGTCAAGGTTATTTTTTTTTTTCGCCAGGCAGCGAACCCATGACCTTCCAAACCGCACACAAGCGTCTATCCGCTTCACCACAGCAACTCCCTTTTAAAATCAAGGCAGAAATGATCAAGTGTAGTGTAAAAGCTGTGCACACGACAAGGCCAGCCAGTTGATAATGGCAAAGAGTTGCCCACTAAACTGACGCCCTCACAAAACTGTCAAGCAGACAGACAGTCACCATGGATGAAACTTGTCTAAGGACTATAGCCTGCTCAAATGAACCCCAGTAAACAGTGAGGGTTACATTGTGAAACTAATTCACTAACTTCCAAGCCACAGGGCCGCACCTCTCTCTTTACCCGCTCCTCCCCAAAATAAAAATAAAGTCAATTTGCATTTCATTATAAATTCAAATGGACATGCACGCACACACACTCTCTCTCTCTCTCTCGTCTCATATTTACTCAAACTGACTGCCCTCTGTTCAAACTTGACTTCGTGCCATTTCAACAGATTACAAATAACTCCAACAATTTTACATGACAAAAATATAATCAAGTTTAAAAATGATGACACACCTGTTAGATCAGCCCTTTCTTAATGTCAGACATTATAAGTTCACACCAACCTAGTGGCTGCATACCAGTCTATAGAAGTATTTGAATAAAGAAGACAAATAACAGACTGCACAATTTATTATTTGGTATATTACGCTATCTCTTTAGGCGTATACTGTAGACACAATGAAATAAGATGAACCAAATAAATAAATCTTTCACAACTAAAACACATTCAACCACTCTCAAAAGTAGCTGCCCATTTTACCAGGGCAAGCAAACATTCCTGACCATGTCTTTTTGTTTACCCAAATCGGGACTGTATGATTAATTATGGCTGCTTCGAAGTGCCACTGTTGAAGTTGTTGAATTATTGCCGTTGTATTCTCATTTATGAAAATTCATTTACGAGAATTAAAAACAATTATAATTCAACAGACATAACTAGAGACGGCCACTAAAAAAGAAATTAACCTCAAACCTTGTGCGCCACCTACTGACCTGTGGTAACATTGTAAACAAAACAACGCATTTCAAATTATGCACATGACAACCTTCTTCTTCACCAGCTGTGAGCTCCAGCGGAAATTCCTGGTTGTTTGTCCATTTGGGCTTTGTGCCAGGGTGTCTACATCCGTTTGACTGGCTAATTTGTGTACAGTTCGTTGTTTCTTGCCGCTCGGGCGGATGCAATTCAACTTTAATTAGTCGACTCCTACAACATGTTTGTTGGGGAGTCTGTGGGTCTATCCTTGTTTCCCTAACAATGGGACCCCGGAACCTACTAGGGGAGTACATATAAACCAATGGCAGTTTTTCACCCCCCACACAGCGGCCACAATTAATCATTTCAGTCTACGATTGTACAGAAGAAAAAAAAAGATAGTCGTGAACATTAAGCTGCTCTGCTTAAACAGGCAGTTACGTGTAGTTGATTTTGTGTTTCAGTTATGAAGGATTTGTGTATCTGGTTCATCTTATTTAACTGTTACTGTAGTATGCACCTGACCTGATACAGGAAAATATGCCAGTGCAGTCTACCGTTTTTGTCTTCGTTTTAATTTAAAACAGGGAATCATTGCTTTGACTATAAAAATATGACTGCTATCAAATCCCAAATGCAAAACTGGCATAAACTTCCCCCTGTTTTAACGCTTTGAGTCCTTGGGGGTTTAGCATCAGAGGCCCAATGGGTAGTCAAAAGAGACGTAAAATCAGCACATCTTGCGTTCATTGGGCTTCTAGTTAGGAACCTATGAACGTATGATACATTTTTTTAACTCAAAGAGTTAACTCTTTTGCCTTGAGAAACTGCAAAACCGTCACATCCAGTTAGGCCCATTTCCCTATAAATGTCATATTTCTTGCTTGCCTATAGATGAATTCAAATGGGGTCATGACCCAAATTTTTTTTTTTAGTGTTACTAGGGTGATAGGGTTTAAACCCTACCAATCCCCACCTTGCTAAGTTACAACACTTCTGTACAAATCACATAACAACATACCAATGAGACTCTGTGAACAGTCAACTCTGTACAAGCTCTCAACTCTGGAGCACAAAAGTTAACATGAAAAATATACACACAAATTTACAGATGGTCAGATGTTGCAGCTCACAGTAACTATGTCGTGCCTCTGCCTCTCCCGCTACAAGCCCTCAAGCCTGTATGGCTAGCAACAAAGGACCTGCGGCAGGTAATGATACAAATGTCCAAGCTGCCATCTTTAAGGGGGTAAAAGTGTATGTAGCCGGTAGCGATCTCTAATCTGGGGCCGTACATCAATGTTCTGAAATGAAAAGATGGAGGTAAATTCACAACCGTCTCCTTTTCTCCTTAAAACAGCAGCTGGCACATTGTGTTGTGGTTAACAGCTGGGCGGTGTTATCTGTGCATTTCAGTTCAAAACATCCAATCTCACTAAATCCTTAATGGGTCACCTTTTATGATGACTGCAGCTGAAAGGTATTAGGTCAACCCACCTCCCCAAACGCTGGCCCCCTAAGCAACATATGATATGGCAACTGCTATATATCCAACTGAGTTTTTTTTAAAATTTTATGCCTCTGTGACGTTTAATTACCATGTTGCGGTGTGCACATATGTTGTAGTATTTTATTTAAAAATACAAAAGGCATTTTGTTTACAGAAAATTTTGTGCAAAATGTTGCTTGTTTGGCAAACTTCTTGTTTTCAGGAGCAACCCCCCACACACACACACGCATGCACACACACAACAACAACAACAACAAATATGATACATATAAAGTCTATACCAATCGTAAGAAGCTTCAAAAAGATATAATCCCTGAGTAAGCGCCATAGTCCTACTGTGGGAGAAAACAACAACAGACCTGCCCAAAAGCATCTCTTAAGAGTCGACTAATTAGGAGTTTCCTTCAAAGTCAGAGTACATCTGCCTGAGAGGTAAGGAACCAACAGTCCGCAGGCAAATGAGTCCAACCTGTAAAACGGATGTGCATGCAACACAGTTTCTGGAACAGAACTAGAGTCCAGAAGTGGATGAATAGCCAGAGCTTTTCGCTGGAGTTTACAGCCCCGCAGAAGAGAAGAAGGAGGCCCCTTAACAAACATGTCATAAAGGGTGTTTGCTGAAACCAGATATGCTGGGCTGAATGATGAAGATACTGCAGCCCACCACACAACAAAACAAATCACACCAAAATGGTGAAGATACTGCAGCCCACACAACAAAACAAATCACACCAAAAATAAAATTAGGGCAGACCCTCTGCCCTTGAAAACACGTCACAACCCAAGATTAATTAGACGTCTGCTAAAATCGGATATGTTGGGTTGAAAGGTGCAGATCACGCAAAAAAGGGTTTGTGGTCTCGAGGCGTGGAAGTCATGAGTTCAGGCCCCGGTAAAGGCTGGGATTTTTTCACGTGGACTTCTAGTAACTTCCCCTGGTCTCTGGGTAGAATGATCGCACGCCCGTTTGTATTGCTGCGCATGCCAAAAAAAAATCCCTTGTCAGATGGAAATCGAAGAGAGTACCCTTAATGGTGCTTTTCTTCTTCTTCACTTCCTCTTTTACCACCCTAATGGTGCTGCCTGGGCAAAATTTGGAATTAAAAATCGACCTAAAATATTTCAGGATCCTCGCCGGTGCTACAGAGTTCGAGAACTACTCTGAGATTCTTCGGACTCAGACTTGAGTTAGAAGTAGAACGAACCCTAATGGGTTACAACCCTTGTGCCATGATGTTCCGCAGGATCCAAGCATTTTTGTTGTGTGTGTGTGGGAAAATTGACAAGATGTAGATCTGAACCCAAGACAACTGGGCCAGCAGGCAAGCGCCTGGTCACAAACAGCGGCTCGCAGCTAGATTTTTAGTACAATATATTAAAACAAATGAGCAAACAAAAAAACTATATTTTCAAAGGGTTAAGAATGAGCAACACAGGCTGCCTTACATTCTACCCTTCTGGCCTCACTCCTTATATACATTACTCAGTTCATACGTCAGTTAGCATAAAAATAACAGACATCATGAAAGAAAACTTGAAGCTAACAATTCTTCTTCTTCGAAATGTCATGGGGAGATGTAACGTTCGTTGATGAGCTCTATCAAGAGCACTATTAAGACATGTTAATTTCTGTAAGGCTTAATGCCATAACTCTATATTTTCCAAGGTCTTCCACTTGCTCTATACTCGTTGTAACGTTTTAGTGTGGCTTGCTGTGGCTAACAATAAACGTGCAAAAATAGCAATGCTGAATGTAGACTTACCTTACTCCGAAGTTCCTCAAGAAAGGGCAGGATTTTGAGAAGCTCCTTATCTTCTCGGTCAACAAACCAACTCTCTATGGGAATACCATTATCTAGCTGTGGAGTAGAGGTAAAATCACAGGTTAACAGACTACAGATCATAGCACAGACTACTAGATCAAAAAAAAAAAAAAAAAAAAAGAATAGCAGACATCATCAAAACAAAACAGTGTCAACTATCAAACTGATATCTGGACACTAAATTATCAGTTGTTGATGATCCTTTCTTTTATGCTATTTGACACTTTGACTGATGTGGACTTTTGTCTCCAAGTTCTCATTAATGGTGCCTAATATTTGACTTTTATATCCTCCTCCTAACCACATTATTGGAAGGAGAGAGAGAGAGGGTGTGTGCGTGAGAGAGAGGGAGTAGGGGGGTGTGTGTGTGTTGAGAGAGAGGAGGGGGAGTGTGTGTGTTAAGAGAGAGAGGGTGTGTGTGAGAGAGAGGGAGTGGGGTGAGAGAGAGAGAAAGAGAGAGAGAGAGAGAGCGAGCGAGAGAGAGAGAGAGAGAGAGAGAGAGAGAGAGAGAGAGAGAGAGAGAGAGAGAGAGAATAAAAGGTTGAAAACATATGACATTCACAGGAACAAGGTCAACAACCATTTTTCAGAAATTTGACACAGAATATAGCAACAACACTCCCTAGAGTGCCAGCTATGTAACTACCCCTATGAAACTATTGAACATCATCTCTTTGAGTGTCCAAAACTCAGCAAAACTAGAAGAATGCTACTCCCTCCGAGACCAGAACATCTTGTACGGAGGAAAAGAACAGCTTGTTCTTCTGGGCCAAAGGGCGAAAGCTCATGCATTGCTGGATCAATAACAACAGAAATTCGACACATTTTTCTGTTGTGAATTTATTTAATGACGCAATATTTTGTTCTGTGCATTTGACCATTTTCTACTGCTGCCGCGGTCTCCCTTAATTGGGCGTTAGGTCAAAATACCCTAATCAGTCACTTTTTGCATTAAAGGGTAGTAGGATCCCCCCCCCCCCTCCCCCCCGAGGAAAGCTTTATTTTTATCAAGTGCATATTACAACAGTAATACACCTTCTATTATTCTGCCATCAAGAATTTCACTTTTCCTAATTGTCTAGTCCATAACATCACGGGAATAAACAATAGATACCAGGTGAACTCTCAAAGTGTCACGCCAGGTAATGGTCAACATGCCTTTATCTTTTGTCACATAAAACAGGATAATCTGCTTTTTTCAGTTTTAATTGCATTTTCTTCAAAAAAAATCAATCTGCACACACCCAGATGTTCCGACATGGCACCTAGTTGTTCTTCACATGGAGGAAGATTGTCAAGCTTAACAAGTTCATTTTGAGCAACCTTTCTCCACTAACAAACAGCATTTTCAGCTGTAGAAATGTTTTGGTCTCTTGTGCCAGCCCACTGCTTTCTTCAGATGAACTTACATGACGCCCGTCATCAAGTCTATCACTGTTGTCGCTACTTTCAGTTGCGATATGACAATAACATTCACAGGTGAATCTCTACTTATCCAAGAATGATCATTTTCAGCGCTACATTCGCTGGCAGATTCTGAATCATCAATACTTCTGGTCTGGTTTTCAACATCCTATTTGACAAAAAAAGCTGAATATGTGCTGGTAACAAAAATTATCAAAATTTCACCGAAAACAACGCTTGTATCGACACATAATGAGATCGGTCGTAGGTGCAGCCATCTTGGAATAATAAAAATACCCGGATGAAGCACAAAACTCTTGATAGTGACATCTGTGTGCAGTCTTCATGTCATGAATTCACAGATCTGCAAAGTTGGTCACGAAAGAATATGACTGGAAATGAGCAGATTGTCAAAGTTGGTCAGCAAAGTGTTAAACTGTGCAGTATATTGTTTGTAAAAAGTAAAGGATCCTGTTGTACACCTTCAGGTATATAGGGCTAGACCTATATTTTATAGACCTATCTGCATTAGGTGGGTGATGTGGTCAGCACCCTACCAGCCGCCTTTACTTCCCAAGACTGCACATGATACCCACTCATGGTCACTTTTGAAAAGTTCAGCTCCGCCAGGACCTGAACCTACCACCTTCCGTTCGGCAGGCAAACGTCTAGCTGCTACAAGACAGCAGCTCTCACATACTGTGCCACCGTTACTGAAATAGAAGAGAGCCGTAAGCCAAAATGTGTGTACCTGGTAACCAAATGCCTGCGGGGAGTTGTCTACGATGACTGTTTTTGCCAAGTCTCTGCCCAAGATGGACAAGTCTTTGATGTAGTAGCCGTTGACACAGACACAATGCTCACGAAACAATCGATGTCTGGGGACAATCAAGGTCACAATACCATAAATATACCTCCACTACACATGTTCACATACATTGTAACGTCCAGAGTGCTGTGATGTCGATTCGTAATTCAGCATTTGATGAAACGTGTTTACATGTACGGGGAGGGGAGAAGAGAGTGGGCAATCAGCAAAAACAACCAAAAACATGATTTCTAAGTAACAATTGGCACCACAGTACTCAGGACATTCTCATAAGCGCTCCATCCCCATCTTCAGCAGCAATTTCCTATTGTACCAGTAACGGTCTGACTGCACATCCCACTCTCCTTTCTCGAGTGCCTGCCAGATCCTCCTGGTCACTCCTCTCAGCGCCATTCACCTCACACCACGACAATCCATCTGCACCTCTTCACTCCTCTCAGCGCCATCCACCTCACACCACGACAATCCATCTGCACCTCTTCACTTAACCCCAAAGGGCCCGTACAATATCTATTGTGTCATGCACCAGTTCAACCTCAAGTGGTTTACAACCAGATAGTCTATTTGCCTGATCATTTGCCAACACACCTGCATGGCTTGGGAAAATTATCCAAAGGACACTAACCACTCGGGACCTCTAAAGCAATGCTTGCCTCTCTGCACGGAATATACCCATCTCCCCCTATCTCAACATGTTCTGCCTGTGTTACAATATATAAGAAAGGGAAAATAAAAAAAAAAAATAAAAAACATTACTAATTAACTAGTAAAGACGTCTTGAAAAAAACCGACTCACAGGTTAACAGACTACAGATCAAAGCACAGACTACTAGATCAGCCTTAATGATTGCCCACATTAGAAAGAGACAATCTACATTCTTTGGTCATGTGATGAGGAGAAAACTGGATTACATTGTGACAGTAGGAAAGTTGGAGGAGAGGAGAGGCAGAGGGAGACCGAGAGAACAGATGCTGGACAGTCTGACATCATGACATGGAGGATCATCTGTGTCAGAGTTGATTGAAAGTACACGAGACAGGATAGACATGACTACCAACGCCACACGGCATGGACTATGGAAGATTATTTGTGTCAGAGTTGGTTGAAAGTACACGAGACAGAAGGTTGTGGCTAGACATAACTACTAACGCGACACGGCATGGACTCTAAGAAAAAAGAAAATTTGACTAACTGATAAATTATCCTAATTAAAGAACAATCTTATAATTTTCCTTTATATAAATTTTAAAACAAGATCCCAGCCATCATTTAAAAAAAAAAAAAACACCCAAATGAAACAGTCAACATACTTGATGAGCTTCTTCTCCGGGTCAAGTAGGTTCATCAACTTGTCGGCATAGACTTTCTTGGACGCCGTGAACAGGATGACCTCAAAGTGCTGGGACACGGCCTCCAGGAACTCCCTGAAGTAAGGGCGGGTCCGAACAAACACCTTCAGAAACAGACAGAAGATAAACACTGTGTCAGTGACAAAACCTTTGCTGTAAGTACAATAAAATCTCCCTGTGTAGGTTCTAGGACACCCATTTTAGGGGGGGGGGGGGGGGGGGGAACGACCACAGATCCACCCCCACCCCCCCACCCCCCACATGTTGTAAGAGTCGACTAATTAGGAATGTTTCCTTCGAAGTTGGAGTGCATCTGCCAGAGGCAAAGAACCAATAGACTACATACAAATAAGTCAGATCTGTAAAACGGATGTGCACGCAACACTCAGGGTCTGGAACGAGTCTTAAAGTCCAGAGGTAGATAAGCAACCAGAATTTTCCACCGAAGTTTACAGTCGGTGAACTAGACGCAGTAGAAGAAGAAGAAGAGGGAGAAAATTGACAGACCCATTATCTATATCTACAAACTAGTTTTTGTGTGTGTTTGTTTGTTTGTTTGTTGGTATGACCTTTGCTGTTCTTTTTTAGTTTTCTAAGGCTTGGATGGGTTCGAACGTATACCTTCAGAGACAGATTCCAAATATAACAAACACTGTCAGCAAACATATAAAATCTACAGAGTTACGGCGGCACAGTAGTTAGCGACTACTTCCTTTGTCAGCTTAAAACCGACTGCCTATATCTGAAAAACAGTCCTTTAGATGGATTCCACTGTCCTTTTAAGTTCCCTGAAATATGAGTGGGCCCAAACAAACAAGTGCGGAAACAGTTGAAGCACACACAGCCAGCAAGCAAATCTTTCCTGTAATCTTCTTCATTCCTTGGCTTTAAAGGTCCATGGGCTGGTTTTAATGCCTCGTTACAGAAGACTATAACAACATCACCTGGAAGGTCAAAGAGTGCAAAACCCCCCTCTCAAACTTACTCTGTATGAGACTTCCTGGAACAAGACAGGAAAGGAAAAGGCAGCATCTTCCAACTCTGTTAGACTGCAGTGAACTAAAGTCTCATCCTGGAAATAACAAATGACAATCAACTAATCAGGTGTCTCATCCTGAAAATAACAAGTGACAATCAACCAATCAGGTGTCTTATCCAAACCATAACAAGTAACAGCCAACTAATCAGGTGTCTCATCCAGAAAAAAAAAAAACAAGTAACAATCAACCAATCAGGTACTTCATTCTAAAATAACAAGTAACAATCAACCAATCAGGTGCCTCATCCTGAAAATAACAAGTAACAACCAACCAACCAATCAGGTGTCTCAGCCTGAAAATAACAAGTAACAATCAACCAATCAGGTTCCATCTCCACAATGAAGGTTGGATTCAATGATCTCTACCTCTCTATCTCTGGCCCTGCCTTTACTCTCTGAAAAGCTTCTCTTGATGTTGCCTCTTGCTGGCCCGTCTTCAACTTCTCCCTTCAGCATGATTCTTCTCTAAACAGTGCCATGTCTTTAAATGTTGCCGAAATATTTAAGTCAGATTTTGTTTTCTATCACAGGCTCTCTTTTCATTCCTGGTTTCTCTAGAACTTCTAGCCTTGAGTGGTTAGCATTCTTTGGATATTTTCTCCAGGTCATGCCACTGTGTTGGGAAATGAGCAGGCAGATATACTGGCTGGCTCTGCACCACTTGGTGGTGAATTGATGTATCACAAATTAGATAGTGAGGGCCCTTTGGGAGCAAGTGAAGAGTGCGGACGCACAGACACATCATTATGGTCTAAGGAGAATGGCACTGCGAGGAGTTACCAGGGGGCCGATCTCAACACTCAGGGAAAGGATGAGTCAGATATAAAGTCAAACGGTTACTGGTACCATCGGAATTGGTACTCTTTGCTTGCTGCTGAGGATGTGGACTGAGCACCCATGGGAGTGTCCCCGAGTGGTGGGATGTCGATTCTTAATTCAACATTCTAGAACTGTTTTGCTTTTTTTTCGATGGAACATGACGTTCCACTGCATATAACATCAAATGTGGAACATCAGCCATTATCTAAACACAACAAATTGTAATTTTAAAGGGTTGAGAAATGGGTTTGTCGCTTTCATAATATCTTTCTGATCTATTTCATTTCACATATTGAAAGGGAGACAGAAAAAGTGAGCTGGTGTAGGTATGTGGTAGCTGCATTAACAAAAAGCAGATACTGAGACTTTAGATAGATAAATAGATGGATAGACGGATCGACAGACAGAAAGACAGATTATGCAGACAGATCAGATAGACAGACTGATAACAGAGTTAGTAATGAACTAATAGAAAAATAAACTGATTGACAGACATACAAAATATAAAACAGGCAGTCAGACAAGAAGATGCCAAAAAAACTAAAATAAACTGATAGATAAAGCTTAAAAAGTAGAGAAGAAAAAAAAACACACACAACAATCAAGCCAAAAGATACTTTCCCAGATAAAAATCTCCAGTGTCTATTTCAGACAGGCAGGTTAACCCCAGAGACAAGCTCATCATATCAAAAGGGACACTGATGGAGGGTGGAAGGAAGAATGAAGAGAGGTTCTGAGTGTGCAGGTGTTTAGGTGGCATGCACACATGGAGTCTCTCTGACGGCAGAGCAGTATAAAAACAAAAAAAAACCAGTCAAGGACTCTTCTCACATGACCGGCATATTAAGCATTTGGTGCCAGTTCCACAATTTTGTAGACAATCGAGACTCGGTGTGTGAACATGCCGTCTGCCTTTATTTCCCATGACAATAGCTAGATAACCATCGTAGTCTGCGTAGCCCAGGACAAATATATATTAAAATTCCCTGTGTGTGTTCGGGGCCCTATTTTATGTTGGAAAAAAGACCCACTGCCTACCCATAAGCATGTCGTAAGAGTCGACTGATTGGCAGCTTCCTTCAAAGTCGGAGTGCATCTGCCTGAGAGGCAAGGAACCAGCAGTTTGCATACAAATGAGTCAGATCTGTAAAGTGCATGCATATGCAACAATCAGGTGCTGGAACAGGACTAGAGTCCAAAAGTGGATGAACAACCAGAACTTTCCACCAGAGCTTACAGCTGGTGAACGCAAAGCAGCAGCAGAAGAAGAAGAAGAATATATTAAAACAAAAAATCTTTAGCAGATATGATTTGATGACCTTTAGTGTACTCACACTTCTTCACCGAACTTCTATTAGAAAACCAGAAGCCTCAATGAAAACTAAAAAATTAAAGTCAAAGTCCAGAGGATCGACTTTATTGCACCGGGTTTTAAATCCCATAGGGCTCTGTCTCTCTCCACAGCACGGCTAGCACAAAGCACAGACTCCCTAACCAAAATCGCTAATGAAGTGAACAGCACAGCTGTGAAACAAACCCACGACCTTTAAAGTGCGAGGCAAACGGCTATACCATTCCACCATGTGTTTTTCCATATGGAATGTCTTTCATTTGTACGCGGCTGAGTCGTATTCAATATGTCCAGTAGCTAGTAATAATTCTACGTGTGTTTAGCCAATGTATCATACACGACTACTTCCATCAATGACAAAGTGCGTTTACTGTGTAGACATATTTCTTGACAGTGTCAGGACAAATTGTTTGTTCACCAGTTTTTCAAATGAGACAGTGAGGGACAATTCATTTCATTTGCAATGGCACAGAAATGGAGCAAGTATGGGGTGACTAGATTACAGTGAAGTTTAAACCTCAACTAAGACTGCTTCGAATGACAAAGATTCAAACAAGGAACATTTCAATGTAAATGAAGACAAAACATCAAAAGTATCCGCCATGAACGTACCAAATCCAGTACTAGGGAAAATTCTGGTGAACTGCGGGTCTTCAAAGGAAGGGCAGGTACTCTTGCCCGTAACTCGTCCGTCAGGGGAGGCAAATTTCTGATAATGAAGTACCTGAAAGTAAAATGATGAATTGACATCAGCAAAATTCACGACACTCATCAAAGATGCAAAGAGTGGGGAATGGAGAGTCAAAAGCAATAACGAAATTTATAATTTGTTTAAATCACCACTGATCACTGGCATCATGAGAGCTAATTGACTGAAATGGTTGGGACATATTGAGAGAATGTCAGATGACAGAGAAGTAAAAACTGTATACACAAGGGAGATAAATGGTCGTAGACCACAACGCAGACCAAAAAGATGGAGAGATAATTTCCAGACAGACCTGCAAACACTTTTTGTCACCAAGTGGAAAGAGAAGGCCAACCAAAGAGATGAATGGAGGCGGGTGATATCTGCAAGGGCTCAAATTCTGAAGAAGAAGAAGAAGAAGAAAATTTACACACAAAATTACTTAGGGTTGATCAAATGTCCATGAAATTTGGTGTGAACTTAAGAGAAAGATGCAACATTCACATTCAATTTTACTTTAGTTGGCTTTCATGTACATGAAATGCGGTAACCCAGATGGCAGGCCACGGGTGATTTGTCAGCATCATGCTAGCTGCTTTTACTTCCCAGGACTTTACCTGGTACCAATTTTAAGGCTGGGTCAATCTTGGAACCAACCTAAGTCACTTTTGAAGAAAAATCCAACTCAGTATGTATTTGAACCCTAGACTATCAGGTCAGTGGGCGATCAATTTTGTTCCCTAGTTTCAATAGCATAAGTTCTCACTGATCAAAATTTCGGTTCTTTCGTGATATCCTACCCCAGATGACGTCACAGGACAGTCCAACATTTTAGAGGGTGATAAGACTTGGTTTCCCGGCTTTCTGATGCTATTAACGACCACAAAACATCTAGAACTGGCCCTAACCCATCTATGTCCCACGACTGCATGCAGCCTAGGTCCCACGACTGCATAAAGCCTATCTACCACCCCCTGAAATATTAGACTGTGGATTTCCCCTAGTTGGGGTAGGATATTAATAAAGCACCAAAATTTCACATGAAAATTGGTGTCTCCTCTCTCACCCAACTAAAATGACATAAATGTTTGTGCCTTGCACTACTTTAAACAACATGTGTCACTGTTCTCTCTCTTCCTCTACCTCCCTCACAACATTAATAATTTCATATGCATTTGGTCATAACATATTCAGAGGTTTGTCTTTCAAAGTCAGAGTGCATCACCAGAGAGGCAAGGAACCAACAGTCTGCATACAAATAAGCCACATCTCTAAAATGGATGTGCATGCAAAACTCAAGTTCTGGAACAAACACTAAATTTCAGAAATGGGAAAACCAGAATTTCAGGCCAGAGTTTACAGATGGTGAAGGCGAAGGAGAAGAAGAACTTACGGGTCTTGAAGCTCAGGACTCCCAATCATACGCTTCCTCGGCCACTTCCTCCTCCTCTCCGTTGTAGGACCCACAGTCAGTCTGTACGTCCACACTGGTGCTGCTGATAGTGATGTTGGTGGCAAGGCTGCTGTCGCCGGAGGCTGCCATAGTCAAATGACTGGTACTGCTGCAGATGACAGCTGTGGTTTTGCTGACGGTGCTGCTGTTACCGCTGCTGCTGCTGTTGTTATTGTTGTTGTTCTCTTCTAAGAGATCCTTGCAGTCCGACCCCATCTGGACCTCCAAGGATGGGTCTTCATTCTCTTTACCTATTGGAAAAGTTGATATATTCTTATGGAAAAAAAAAAACCAGCTTTTTCCTGACAACAGCAATTAAATAGGCATTGAAAAATGTAATGTAGAACAAAGCAGAATTGTGTTTACTACTTTTGACAGAGATTTAGGGCAGGGTGGTTTTGAGCCTGGGTTCAAAGGCTAAGCTAAGTAAAATTGACAACTGTGAAATGAGATGCCTAATAAAAGCCGCCAGCTTAACTATCCGAGACAGAGTGAGAAATGATACTATCAGATAGACTGTGGAGACAACACTATGCGGCACAGAATAAATTTACAGAATATTTAAAAAAAAAAAAACACACACACATTCACAGAATTTTAACCAAAAAAATGTATTAAAGCCACAGTCCATAAACAAAACAAAATTATGCAATTCACAGAATATTAAAATAAAATAAATTTCACAGAATAATAATCTTCTTCTTCTTCAGCATCCCGAGTCCTTGATGTTCATTGCTGCAGATATCTCCTGCCTCCACTCATCTCTCTGGTTCATCTTCTCTTTCCAGTTGGTGACACAGGTCTGTGTGGAAATTATCTCTCCATCGTCTTCTTGGTCTGCCTCGTGGTCTACGACCATAAATCTCCCTGGTGTATACAGTTTTTACTTCTCTTTCATTTGTCATTCTTTTAATATGTCCCAACCATTTAAATCTATTTTCTCTCATGATGCCAGGGATCAGTGGTGATTTTAACAAATTATTAATTTCGGTGTTGCTTCTCACTCTCCATTTACTGCTGTTAGCATCTATGATGGGTCCAAAGATTCGTAAGACGAATAATAATAATGATAATAATTTAAAAAAAAACAACAAAAATCCACACATTGGCAAAAAAAAAAAAAAAAACTACAAACAATTCAAGCCACAGAATATCCCCCCCCCCCCCCCCCCCCCCCCCCCCAATATGCAATCCACACACATTTTAGAAAACAAACATTTCACAGCATTAAAAAAAAAATTTTTTTTTACATTAAACTAATGAATATTTACAAAAATATATAGCAATCCACAGAACATAATAATGTAACCCACAGAATATCAATAAAAAATAAAATACACAGAAAAGGGGAATTCAATGGAGGTAAGTAAGAAAGGAAGAAGCTGGGGCAAGCTAAATGCCTGCCCCCCCCCCCCCCCCCCAAGAAAATTGGTGTCCTCTGCTGGTTAAGGGCCCCGTGCTTCAAGAAATGGCCGAAAATCAGTGACCTCTTCAACATCTGCCCTCCCTGTGCAGCTTCCGAGGCCCTATTTTGCCTACCTAGAAGCCCAATCAACACAAAATGCACTGACTGTACCTCTCTTCTTCACTACATTCTTTGGTCATGTGATGAGAAGGAGAAAACTGAAGTACAGTGACAGTAGGAAAGTTGAAGAGGAGGAGAGGCAGAGGGAGACCGATAGAACAAATGCTGGACAGTCTGACATCATGGTATGGAAGATCATCTGTGTCAGAGTTGATTGAAAGTACACAAGACAGAAGGCCGTGGACAGACTTGACTACCAACGTCACACAGCATGGAATTTAAGAAGACATAGTTGACGGTCTGATCAGCTCCCTTCAGCTCTGTCAGCCAGATGCCATGGAGTTGATGTTTGCATGCCTGAAGTCAGACTAGCCTGCCAAATTTTCTATCCAGGGCTTTCTTGATCTGACTCTTCTCTTCTATCGAGCCCTGCAGTCTCATTTTCGAGAGGCTGGCAGATGTCATTATGTGTCCCGAACACTTTATTTCTCTGTATCTCTCTTTTGTTAAAGGTGGTTGACTGATCAACAGTGGACAAGGTTTAAAGTCATACAGCTATCAGTCCAAATCCTCAGCTGTTGACTGGTTCTGAACATTCTTCACAAGATCTAGTTCAGGAATGGAGGCAGAAGCAGTCCATTATGGCCTCAATATTGGTAAAACCAGAATAGACCTGCTGTCTCCCTAACAAGCACGTCTTAAGAGTTGACTAATTAGGGGTTTCCACCAAGTCATGGTGCATCTGTCTGAGAGGCAAGGAACTAACAGTCTGCACAGAAAAAAAGCCAGACCTGTAAAACAGATGTGCATGCAAAACTCAAGTTATGGAGAATGGTTAAAGTCCAGAAGTGGATGCACAACTTTCCACCAGTTTACTTTACAGGGAGTTGCAGAGTGGCAAGCATAATATCAGAGGTACCATGTAGTTAGTGTCTTTTGACATTCTGGTTATGCTGGTGTGTTGGGAAACGAGCAGGCAGACAGACTGGCCAGTTCTGCACCGCCTGGTGGTGAACTGATGTATGACAAGCTAGATGTTGTGAGGGCCCTCTGGCAGTAAGTGAACAGTGTGAAGGCACAAGCAGATCATCACGGTCTGAGAAAAATGACGCTCCGGGGAGTGACCAGGGAATCTGGCCACTCTACACTCAAGGGAAGGGGGAGACAGATATTCAATCAGCTTCTGGTACCATCGGAACTGGTCCCCTTGTCTGCTGCTGAAGATGGGGATGGAGCATTTATTGGAATATCCTGAGTGCTATGATGTCCATCCTGAATTCAACTTTATAGGGAGACACTTTAAGAAGAAAAAGAACCCTGAAACGAACTTACACTCATCAGTCTCTATGAAAGGACACCAAAGACGGAGTTAGTTAGTTAGTCGGGTTATCATCATTGCACTCCGGACATGTCCATAGGTGCTGAGATCCTCCCCTCAGTATGAACCCCAACGTCCTATGGCTAATAGTACCAGTTCTATGTTGATTAACAAGTCTTCTGGCGTGTCTGGTGTGCATCTCGTTTTTTGCTATGCCGATCTTAATTCCCAAGTCTGCCATTCTGGAGAGTGATGTGAATTCACTGCCCCCAAAGTCCTCTATCCTTCCCATTTCTCTGAGGGCATTAACAATATCAGCATGATCCATGGGCTGACCGTCTGTAGTGATAGCGGATCCAGCCAACCTGTCAGCTCTTTCATTTCCATCGACGCCTGTGTCTCCCGGAACAAAAATAAAGGCGACTCCACGCACAGTGGACTTCTGTAATGATTCAAGCCATTGTCTTCGCACCGAACCTGCCTGAACCCTCTGGATCATACTCACTGAATTACTGAGTATACATACGCGGGTGTATTTTTGTGTTTCGAGCCAGGCGAACGCTTGTGTCACTGCCATCACTTCCATCGTGATGCTGCTGGTTGTCATGGAGAAGGCGCCGTTGGCTCAGTAACTACCATTATATGTTTTCTTTCATAAAACTCTCAGTAGTTCTAGAGAATGACATCCCCTTGTAAGAAGTACGATGACATATTCATTTCACAATCAATCCAAACTTGAAACGGTGCTTTCTAGTGATTTTTACCTGACCGGATACTAGTGACATCTGACATGGTACTTTCTAGTGACACTTACTGTGACACAGTATTTTCTAGTGACATTTACCCAACCCGATACTTTCTAGTGACATTTACTTTGACACATAACTTCATTGTGACACTTAACATAATACTCTCTATCACAGTAAACACTTACTTGACATGGTACTTTCTATCACAGTAAACATTTACTTGACATGGTACTCTCTATCACAGTAAACACTTACTTGACATGGTACTTTCTATCACAGTAAACACTTACTTGACATGGTACATTCTATCACAGTAAACACTTACTTGACATGGTACTCTCTATCACAGTAAACACTTACTTGACATGGTACTTTCTATCACAGTAAACACTTACTTGACATGGTCCTTTCTATCACAGTAAACATTTACTTGACATGGTACTTTCTATCACAGTAAACACTTACTTGACATGGTACTTTCTATCACAGTAAACACTTACTTGACATGGTACTTTCTATCAATCACAGTAAACACTTACTTGACATAGTACTTTCTATCACAGTAAACACTTACTTGACAAGGTACTTTCTATAACAGTAAACAATTACTTGACATGGTACTTTCTATCACAGTAAACACTTACTTGACATGGTACATTCTATCACAGTAAACACTTACTTGACATGGTACTTTCTATAAAAGTAAACACTTACTTGACATGGTACATTCTATCACAGTAAACACTTACTTGACATGGTACTTTCTATAACAGTAAACACTTACTTGACATGGTACATTCTATCACAGTAAACACTTACTTGACATGGTCCATTCTATCACAGTAAACACTTACTTGACATGGTACATTCTATCACAGTAAACACTTACTTGACATGGTACTTTCTATAACAGTAAACACTTACTTGACATGGTACATTCTATCAATCACAGTAAACACTTACTTGACATAGTACTTTCTATCACAGTAAACACTTACTTGACAAGGTACTTTCTATAACAGTAAACAATTGCTTGACATGGTACTTTCTACCAAAGTAAACACCTACTTGGCATGGTACTCTATAACAGTAAACACTTACTTGACATAGTACTTTCTATCACAGTATCCATCACGTCATCCAGATCAAGGACAAGAGCTATGGCTCCAAGGTCGGTTACTGAGGGGCTGCAATCAGAGTCTGAAACACCAGTATTGCATTAACATCAAAATGAAAGCAGCTGCCAAGCATGAACGAAAAAGTGTATCAAACATTACTGGCAGTATACACAATAAAAAGCTGTGTATAGTTGTATCACCAACATCACATAAGTAAAGATCCCTTTTCACACCTTTAGGCGCATGAGGCATATGGGAAGAGCACCCATATTTTTTTACAGACCAATCAGCACTATCTGTTTAAATCACCAGTGTTATGGTTTAAATCACCAGTATTATGGTTTAAATCACCAGTATTATGGTTTAAATCACCAGTATTATGGTTTAAATCACCACTGATCACTGGCATCATGAGAGCGAATAGAGTGGAATGGTTGGGGCATACTGAGAGAATGTCAAATGACAGAGAAGTGAAAACTGTATTAACAAGGGAGATGAATGGCTGTAGACGACGTGACAGACCAAGAAGACGATGGAGAAATAATGTCCAGACAGACACTTGCTGTCACCAACTGGAAAGAGAAGACCAACCAGAAGGATGAATGGAGGCGGAGGATATCTGCAGCAGTGAACCTCAAGGGCTCAGAATGCTGAAGGTGCTCACTGAGTTATAACAGTTTTTCCCACCTGATGGCCTGTGGACAAGTATCAGGGGTAGGTGTGATATCCTGTTTCTTTCTTTTTTTCTGTTAAAAGGTTCTTTAACCCTGCTGCCCAGGGAAGCCACAAAACCACCAGAGTGGTTTCTTCTTCTTTCGCTTCGCGTTCATATGTAAACTCCGGGGGAAAGTTCTAGGTGTTCATCCCCCTCTGGGCTTCAGTCTTCTTCTAGAATCTGAGAGCTGCCTGCAAATATCTTTTGCACAACTTTCTTATTTGTATGCAAACTCTTGGTTCCTTGCCTCTCAGGCAGACGCACTCCGACTTCAAAGGAAGCTCAAAACTAGTCGGCTCCTGTACCATGCTTTTGAATAGACAGTGGGTGTATTCTTTTTTTCCCTACAATAGTTTGATTTTTTTGCCACTGAAAACTCCTGGGTATAAAAAAAAAAAAAAGACAGAAAGAAAGAAAGGAAAGGAACAAGTGCAAAAACTTGTTCTCCCTAGTATAGTATTATGTCAGAAGCCAAATGCATGTCCTTTAACTCTTTCCATCACTCACACTTTATGACCAACCGTAGTAATGGAACAATGCTCAAACCTGGTTGTGAATGAAAAGGTGGGTACATCGGGGAAAATAGAGTTCCCAACATTGCAGATCTCGGAGCAGTGGATTTGGGGTTTATTGCAAGGTCAACTTTCTTGCATTTAGGCCTTCGACCTGTGAACAAATGTATAACAAAATGAATTAATTAATCACTTCTATGTTCAACTGTGTTTTAGACTCATTTATGGTTGACGGCAAGTGCTGGTTTCTTAAACTATGGCCTTTGACCTGTTAAAAAAATAACGGCAAAACAAATAACTAATCACTTGTTTGTTATCTCCCTGTTTGAGTTCCAAGGCCCCATTATGGAGAGGAAAACCAGCCCTGCAACACTATCCTTAACAAGCATACTGCTAATAACCAACCGAACTAGACAAACAATAGCAACCTAGTTGAGAGCTAATTAAAAGAAAGAAAAAACCCAACTCATTATGGGTGTTCTCTTGTAAGTCGCAGTGCACCCGCCTGAGAAACAAGAAATCCAACAGTCTTCTTACAAATGGCCAGATCTGTAGAAGGGATGTCCATGCAAAACTCAAGTTCTGAAACAAGATCAAAAACCAGAACTTTCTGCCAGAGTTTACAGCCGGCGAATGCTTAAAAAAAAAAAAAAAAGGGGAGAGAAGACATTTTGTTCAACTGTCCTTCACAACTGTTGAGAGTCACATCATGTACAGCTGCCAGGCTTGGAAAACAGAAGCAATAAAACAAGAACACAGTCTCTGCACCTTGTGAGGAAAACAAGAATAGACCCACTGCCTGCCCAAAAGCATGTCATAAGAGTGGACTGACTGGGAGCTTCCTTCAAAGTCAGAATACATCTGCCATAGAGGCAAGGAAGCAAGAGTCTGCATGCAAATAACTCAGACCTGTGAAACGGATATACACACAACACTCAGTTTACGGAACAGGACTAGAGTCCAGAAGTGGAGAAACAACCAGAACTTTTCCAGTAGAGTTTACAGCCGGCGAACGTGAAGAAGAAGAAGAAGAAGCTTTAACAAATGAGCACTATTCTTCATGCATGAAAACAACCAAGGATTAACTGCACAGTTTTCAACCTTGGTACCAAGGAGGGTTTAACAATGCTATATCAGGGAGTCACCCAAATGTACCCACTATGCTCTTAGTCAATCACCCACATGCATCCACAACCAGTCAGTAACCCACATGTACCCACCTCACCACCAGTCAATAACTGACATAAACTTAATCACTTCTTAGATAAACCAGATAATCATCCCAAAATAAATCAGACAATCATCCCAACCACACAAAGAAAAAGACAGACAGTCATACCAATGTAGGTCTAACATTCTACCAGACAATCATCTTAACATAATCCAGACAATTGAATTGTACCAAAATAAACTAGACAATCATCTTAAAATAATCCAGACAATTATCTCAAAATAAACCAGACAATCATCTCAAGATAAGACAGACAATTATCTCAAAATAAACCAGACAATCATCTCAAGATAAGACAGACAATTATCCGAACATAAACCAATTACTCAACCAGATAACCACTCTAAGGTATATCAATAAGTGTTGTTTACAACAAAATTTTATCCAGCAAAACAGGAGGATAGCAGACTGGATAGAGAGGCAGAAGCCAGAGTACAGAAGGCAAATGCTGTCATCTACCAGTTAGCCCCACTGCTTAGACACTTAAATGTCCCCCTTCCAGCAAAACAGCAAATGATTAATCTCTACTTTATGTTATCAGTACTAAACATGGACACTGAACAGGGCACTAAAACAGAAAATAACAAGGTCACTAGTAACACAAGAAGAGACAGAGTTAGGAATAAGAGCATTAGAGAGAAAGTTGGAATAAGGCTATGTCTAGATTATACTGACAGACAAAGAATGAAATTGTTCAACCATCTAGTGAGAATGCAGTCAGACCAAACTGCATCTGAGACTTTTTACAGCAGAACATCTGGGAGCAAGGTGAGAGGAAGACCAAGAAAGAGATGGATAAAAAGGTTAGATGACACCGGCAAACCAAACAACAAAGCTGGACACACCCTTAACCTTCAGGAAAGTCAACCAGCCCAACAAACTTGTGAATGAAAGGTGACCTACTCTAGCTGGGGAGACCAACAGCAGAAAGTGAGGTAATCCTGACTCCCCAACAAGCAGGTCATAGGAGTTAACTAATTTGAGATTTCCTTCAAAGTCGGGAGTGCATCTGCCCGAGAGGGTCAGGGAGCAATCACCAACTGCGCAGAAACAAGCCCAGTAAAACGGATGCACACTCAACACTCGGGCCTGGGCACAAAGCCAAAGTCCAAATGGATGAGCACCTAGGACTTTTCAGCCAGAGCTTTCAGTTTGTGAACGAAGAAGAAGAAGAAGAAGAAGAAGAAGGAGAAGAAGAAGAAGAAGAAGAAGAAGAAGCGAATACCTTTTCGTCTAGCTGCTGCTGAGCTGGTGTGGGGTGTGGATGAGATGAGGTCCACAACTCCGTTCATCTGAGAGTTGCAGGGTGTGGCTCCACTGACCCCTGTGGTGGTCTCCTTGCGGAGCTTCTTCCTGTGGTAACTGCCGTTTGCCTAGTCTGCAAAAAAACAAAACAAAAATCGCATAAATGTATTATTACATGAGGTTGTGGCAATACCTTATAACTTCAATACACTTTGACACTGATCGCCATAAAGTGTGACTAGCAAAACCGCCTGCGATAAGAAAAGTCCTCTCCATAGCACAAAGCCTGGGCAGTATCCTAGCGATCATATGTTGCCCGTGCATCATGATCCCTCTCTCAACCTGCCTTGTTTACTCCAGAGGAAAGGTAGCATCGGTACATTTCGAACAAAGCAGGTTGCAGAAGCTGTCGGATCTGAAAAACAGTGCTCCATCTGTCCACCTGTCGGAGCTTCCCTCTTAGACCAATTGCCAGCCAAGGCCTTGCCACAACATAAAGTTTTCAGGTTCTTCTTCCCAGGATAAGGCTGGTATCCTCTCCTATGTGCTCCTCCGCCCGAAGCCATTGGCAGAATATGGAATGTAAGGTTTTGCATACGCGCTTAATGTTCAGTGTTAAGTAAGACAGGTGGTACCCGCTATTGTTATACAGTAGCTCAGTCAAATCTGACCAAGACCTGACCAGTGTCTTCTCCACGTAGCACAAAGAATTATACAGATGATGTTGCTCAGGCCGCATTATCCCTTTGTCTGCCTTTTAAACTCCAATAGAAAGGAACAACAAACAAGTCTAGAACCAAGCATGCTCAATAACATTTTAAACATTGAAAAACTTCAGTATGCTGTGACAATGGAGCTTATACTTCAGTATGCAGTGACAAGGGAGCTTAGACTTAAGTGTGCAGTGAAAAGGGAGCTTAGATTTCAGTGTGCAGTGAAAAGGGAGCTTAGACTTCAGTGTGCAGTGAAAAGGGAGCTTAGATTTCAGTGTGCAGTGACAATGGAGCTTATATTTCAGTGTGCAGTGACAAGGAAGCTTAGACTTCAGTGTGCAGTGAAAAGGGAGCTTAGATTTCAGTGTGCAGTGACAATGGATCTTATACTTCAGTGTGAAGTGACAAGGGAGCTTAGACTTCAGTGTGCAGTGACAATGGAGCTTATACTTCAGTGTGCAGTGACAAGGGAGCTTAGATTTCAGTGTGCAGTGAAAAGGGAGCTTAGACTTCAGTGTGCAGTGACAAGGGAGCTTAACAACATCACAAACCTGTTTTCTTGGCGATCGAGAAATTACATTAACTGGTGTCAGCACAGAAAAAAAAAAAAACAAGAATTACACAACAACAGAATCACTAATGTGAAGCTGTCAAAGAAAACTAAACAAAGTCTAAATGATCAAGAGGTAAGAAAAATATGCACTGGTGTTGGATCAGATACACTCTGAAAAAACCTGATTAACAAACTAACTAGAATGTCTTTTCACTGAAAGCCATGGGGTCAAAGGAACGCCGGCAGATGAAAACACACATGCAGGAGGGGACTAGAGAGTGAAGAGAACAAACACTGGAAGCCATGGGGTCAAAGGATTGCCCGCAGATAAAAACACACATGCAGGAGGGGACTAGAGAGTGGAGAGAACAAAAACTGGAAAACAACGGGTCAGCTGCTTGTGATGTCAACAGACAAGATGACAGCATAAGCTGGTTGAGGGCCTATGCTCCACTGAGGGACAAAGAGCAGCAGAAGAAGTTGAGGAATGTTGAAACAAGTATACTTATCAAGAAGAAATGAATTTTCAAGAGTAAAAAAAAATGTACCTCCTTATAAGAAGTTATCTGTGTCTCAAAACAGTTGTTACAAAACATTTAGGTCACAATTTGTATTATTCTACTATTAGTAAATAACGTACCATGGCAGTCTTATCTTGGCATTTGTTGCCGTTGTTGAGACGTTTTTTACGCCCCATGGTCGTAAGGTGATCGTCTGGCCTGGATCCCTGGTCAAAGTTCACAGAGACCACGTCATCAGCTTTGATACGAAGTTGCATTTTGGCAGCGATGAAGAAGAAACCTGTGGTGAAAACAAAAAAAAAAAAGTTCTATTTTAATTACCTGTACTAAAACTAATAGATAAACTCAACATGCAGTAAATACAACATGAAGATCAATGCAGACAAAACTGAAACAATGCACAAGTTAGTAGAACCCCTGGTCCATTACACAAACATATACAGCTGAGTGGTTCTGGTTTGAATCATCAGGGATTTTAAATATCTAGAAAGTATGATCACAGAAGATGGCAGAATTGACAGAGAAATAGAAAATAGATGTCAGAAAGCAAGTGCACTTATATACCAATTGCTACCATTATTTAGGCATCCAAATATAACTATAAATGCAAAAAGAGACAGATTATAAACAGCATATTCATTTCAACATTAAGCTACCAGTACCAAACATGGGCACTATCTAAAGCTCATTTACGCAAAATCACCTCCTGCGAGATGAGATGCCTGAGAAAAGCTGCCAACCTAACCATCCGAGACTGAGTGAATAAGGATACTATTAGACAAATTATGGGAAACACACCTTGTACTGGATTCATCGAGAAACAGCAAATCAAATGGTTTGGCCATCTCCTTAGAATGTAGCAAGATCAAATACCATCACAGGCACTACATCTCAGAAGATCAGCTGCAAGATAAAGAGGGATGGCCACAGAAAATGGATCCACAACATTAAAGACTCTACGCTTTCACAGCAAGATAACAGCCAGTCGCAGCCAGCGAGCACTGGATGCCAAATTATTCCTCCCCACGACGCTTAACGGCAGAAGTGGCTAATAATGATGAACTAAAAAACGTGAAAGAAATTAAAGTTTAGGGGGAAATACAACTAATACTTCAACTAAAGCTAGGCAACAGCAAAATTTATAATTTGTTTAAAGTATCATTAATTACTTGCATCATGAGGAGTATTAGACTTCAAAGACGGGGACATATACAGAAAATGGCAGGTAACAGAAAGACACACAACAATCGTGTATGCAGAAACAGCTGACTGCCAGAAGACCACAAGGCGATCATCATGTGTCAATAAGCAAAGGCTGTCATGATCGGCCATCTCACATGATCACCAGAATCATGGATCAGGTCGGTGCTCTTGTCATCCCCATGGCATCCTGGTATTATTCTCTCTGCCTTTCCCTTGCCCTTTTTTTTAATCAAACTTGCCAGTTTTTACCACGCTGTCAAGTCCATTCTGTCTCTTAACGTGTCTGACAAATACAGACTGTCTGTACGTCTACTGTCCCTTATCAGTTTACGGTTTTGGTTCTTTATTAATATCCTACCCCTGATGATGTCACATGGTAGTCCAACATTTTAGAGAGTGGTAAGACTGGGTTTCCCAGGCTTTCTGATGCTTTTAACGACCCCAAAACATATTGAACTGGCCCTAACCCAAACCTACCTGCGTCCCAATAGAGTGCAGCCTAGGTCCCACGACTGCATGCAGCCTATCTACCACCCCCTGAAATACTAGACTGTCCCGTAAAAAGTGGATTCCCCCAGTTTGGGGTAGGATATTAATAAGGCACCACGTTTTTTCCTTCCTGTGTAGGTTGCAGAGCCCCATTATGCAGAAAACAAGAACAGACCCACTGTTTCCCCAACAAGCACGTCGTAAAAGTTGACCAATTGGGGAGTTGCATCTGCATGAGACAAGGAACTAACAGTCAGCATACAAATAAGTCATATCTGTAAAATGGATGTGCAGGCAACACTCAGATTGTGAAACAAGCCTAAAGTCCAGAGGTAGATGAGCAACCAGAACTTTTACAGCCAGAGTTTACAGTTTTCACCTGCCTCCAAGTGGACTGCCGCACTTGTCTTTCTATCCTTGCAAGATATTCTCTGGATTCTTCTCTCATTCGCTCTATCTTAGAGCGGCTGTAACCTCTGGCGGAATGTTATGGTTGTTTGTCCACTTCCAGACTTTTGGTCTTATTTCAAAACTTAAGTTCTGCATCCATAACCATTTTAAAGAAGTGGCTTATTTGTATGCAGATTGTTGGTTCCTTTCAGATGTATTGCAACTGTGAAGGAAACAAAAAAGTAGCCTCCTATGACAAGCTTGCTAATGCAGTAGAGCTCGCTTTCTTCCCCGAGAAAAGGGGACCACAGAACACAAACTGGGAGCATTCTTCTCATAAACAACATCTCAGCCGCAAGTAAATATAACATTCCAAAACTCTTAATTGGGGGGGGGGGGGGGGGGTGGGGGGGATGAGAAGGAGAGAGAGCAAATATTACAGTAAACAGATAAGCTTACTGCTATTAACAGTCAAAAGTGCATCTATTTTCTCTAAACAGCTGTCTCTTTAAGTAGTTTTAAAACAGCCATCTGCGGGTTCCCAGGTTCATTTTTGAGCATCAATGTCAGTCAGTCCTTGTCTTGACTTGTTGATGTTGATTCTACTCTGCGTTGTTTGTGGGATTTGTTACTTGTCTCACACACTTGCTAATTATTTCTCTCAGGTGGTAGTTGGATTTCTCAGTTCTCTTTTCTTTCTGGGTTCTGACTTATTCTAGGCTCTTGCCAGATTGTTACTGTACAGGATACCACTGGATCTACTACTTCTCTCATGTTATTCTCTTTGGTTTTGTTATTCTCTCTGGGTTTTTTAAACTCTGGTTTTTTTTATTGTTCAGTGCCTTGCTTCTCTCTGGTAACTGCTGGGTGCCTTACTTCCTCATGTTATTCTATCTTTGAATTTTTTTCTCGGTTTTACTCTCTGTGTGTGTTTGCTGAATATTTTACTTTTCTCAGGTTACTGTTGGGCGCCTTACTTCTCCCTGGTTACTGTCTTACTTTTCTCATGTTCCTGTTGGGTGTACTACTTCTCTTGTTCTTACTGGATGTCACTGTTCTGTGGTTATCACTGGCTATTTTACTGCTGTCACACCATTGTATAATATGTGTCTGTTGGATAATTTAATTCTTATTTTTCTTTCTGTTGTCAATATCTGCTTTATGCCGCTAGGTGTCGC